TGCCCCGCCCCGCCGCCCCGTCCGCGCTCGTCCAGCCTCGGCCGCGCCCTCTCCGCGGCGCCGCCCCGCCCGCGCACGCGCCCCAACCTCTCGGTCTCACTGATTTGTGGGCCAGAGGGCGGACAACGGCGGACGGGAGCGGACGAGAGAGGCGAGGAGAGCGTCCGTTTTCTGTCCGTTCGGGAGCATTCTTGAACCAGGTTTGCTCCAGGTTTGAGGCTAGCGGGACAAATAAAAGTGTCCAAAAGACAACTCTGTTCGTTTGGATATTACCGCTGGGTCGTATTTTACCCCAAACGGACAAAAACGGATCGGATGGGTCACGCGGTGGAGTTGGCCTAAGTACAAACTAGCTAGCTTGCTTGAGTTTGGAGGGAAGAAATCAACGAACGCTCTACTACTGGCAGAGGTTGTTACTGTACTGTTGTAAGTTTGCTGCCGCAGAAAGTTACTGGTATACGCCATGGCCCATGGCGACAGCAGCAAGCTAGCAGACCGGGACGGTGTGGTGCCGCTTGCGCACGTCTCGGCTGAATCCCTCGCGTCGTCGTCTACCCGGCTCCCCTGCGCGCGCGCGCCTGCGCGCGTCTGGATCGGTGGATCTTGGCGTTGGGACTTATTGTGTGTGTGTGTGTGGCGGCGACACACGGAGGACCACCGGAGTCCGCAGCGCCATGCATGAGAGTGCTCGCTGTTGCAGCCATGCTTCTTCTTGATTGGCCTAAAACCAGTCACCTGTCGGTGGACGACGGGTTTATTTCCCTTTTAGAAAAAAAAGAAAAAAAAATCGGTGGACGACGGGTGGCGTGCTATATTACTGGTCGATTACACAAGCTCGATTGAGCAGTAACGCCTGTGTACCACCTTTCTTTTTTTTTTTCAAAAATCTTTCGATCTAGTTTTCATCAACTGTCAAGGTAGTACAAAAAACAACAGAAGTAAAAAATTATATTCAGGTCCGTAGACCACTTAACAACGACCACAAGCACTGCAATGTGCCTCTCGCACTGAAGCGGGACAAACCTTATTGTAGTAGACAATCGGAAAATCGCCGTGCTAATGCGCTACGGGATCAGCACACCAAAACCGCAATCGCCGTTGATGAAGAGAAGCGTAAGTCGAAAGGATCCAACAAATAGACACATGACCATTGACGAATGAAGAGCGGATCCATATGGATCCATCGAAGACAAGCACTGAACGAATACCACAAGATCCGCCGGAGACAAACCTCCACATGCCCTCCAACAATGCAAGAAGCACCGCCGGAATAAGGGCTAGACGGGAAGAACCTTAATCCATCTACATAGAGCCATCACTGCCTCGTCTCCGAGCACGATACAAACCCTAACAAAACCTAGAAAAACACCTTATCACTGTGATAGTATCTCGGCACCGATGCGAGGTTAATGAACCTACCTCGTGTTAGCTAGTAGGCTCGAAGCCGTTCCCCACGCTCCAGCAAATGATCAGCCAGCTGACACTGCATCACCGCTAACACCGTGTCACTCGAATTTGGAGCGAGCCTTTTCGTTGAAAGCGCATTAAACTCCATCAGCTGGCCGTACGTAAGGCTGGTCACAATGGGGAGGAACTTAGGAGTAATATCACACACTTCAATACAACTTTGCTTATGTGTCACATATTTAATAAAGAGAGAGGTGCTTGTAGTAACTAGCTAAGTTACCGGAACATCACACACTCTAAGAAACAATGAGTCTATAACCTAATAAATACATTGTTGCATGACACTACATAGATGTTCCTACCCACTGTGGAGGTAGTAACATGGTCTAAGAAAGTGTGTAAGTTATTAAACTATGTTTTTACCCATTGTGACCAGACTAACATGCTGCCTCGTAATAACTGTCCTGTCCAAACACGCTTTCGGATCCATCCATCCATCTTCAGATCTCCTCATCTCTGTTGGATGGCGGGAACCGAGAGTTTTGCCAAAGGCAGAGCTTTTAACCCAGCCATGCAGGAGTCCAGGCCAAGGGGCCCCAGGCGCAGGCGGCAGTAAAAGCGATCACCGATTCACCGTGACATACATCTGCCGATGGATCCACGTCCACAGAGCGTGCGTGCGTGCGTGCGTGCGTGCACGGAGAAGTAAGTACGCTGGTACACCGCACAGGTTCCGCCTGCCTCCCTCCCCGTCATGCATCGTCACGCCAAAAGCGCGGAGAGGATTTACCTCTTGGGGTAAATACACGGCGTCACTGTCACGTACGCACGCACTTGCGGATCCGGCCAGACCTGAGGTATATCGTATGGCGGCTGTACGTACGTATACGTGTACGTATCCCAGTCGCACTGACGTACGTATACGTATGGGAGCAGGCGCCAGGCAGAGGTCGTGCCCGCGGGGGGCCGGCCCGTCGTTCTCCCGTCATCCCTCGCCGTGGTTTGGCAGCGAAGCGCGGCACGGCCGACCGGCCACGCCCCACCGGTGAGCTGTCGATCCACCCGTTCTATTCTATCCGCGGAGGCCGGCCAGCAGGAACCTAACGACATCACCCAATGGGGAGTACGCCACGTACGTTGCGTGTCCAGCGCCCGGAGCCAGGCACGGTACACGGTCGGCGCGCGCGTGCCGGTGGTTGCACGTACGCTCTGGCCCGGCGCCCGCGTCGTCACGGGCATTTAACGCCGCCCCGCCGGCCGGCGTCGTGCTCCGGCTCCGTCTCCGGCTCGACGAAAACTCCAGTGCGGACTGACACAGATCACATGCCGGCGGAACCGGCTCGCGCGCACCGCCTCTGCAATATGGGTCCTCAAACTGCTAGTCCCAAACTTGGTGTGAAGTTGCGCTCACATGGGCTTGTGATGGACGCGCGCGCGCGCGCAGGACCAGAGACACGGCTTGACCCACCCCAGCACCCCATGCCCCCCACCCCCTCCCTCCTCGGCTCCTCCCTCTCTTATTTCACGCGCCTCCCTCTTAAAATCCCCGAGCCCCCCCTCGCTCCCTCTTCCCTCCATCCATCCAACCCGTCCTCTCCCCTCACCAGGTCACGAGAACCGAGCCAGCCTCTGCATGTTCTATCTGAGCGAGTGACGCCGCAATCATCATCATAAGTAGTAACATTCCTCCGCCGAACTCACAACGCCCATCCCAAGAGCCTGCAACACTTCTATATCTGCACCTGCATCCATCCACACACCGCTGCCTCTTCTTCTCCTGCTGGTTTCAGAACCTTCTCCTGCTTTTGCTATCTCCGGCAGGGTGCCGCTGCCGCACGGTGAGCGTGCGTGTGGCCTGCTGTGAGCGGTGAATGTGCGGCGGCCGTCTCGTTTGGGCCGGCGTTTGATCGGTTTGGAAGCGTCGGGGGATGCCGGCGGCGAGGAGGGTGCTCAACGCCTTGGCCGACGACATGCCGGAGTTCGACCGCCGCCAGATGGGCTGCATGGCCGGCATATTCCAGATCTTCGACCGCCAGCGGATGCTCACCGCGCGTCGCGCCGGCGCCGGCGCCGGTGCCGGCTCCGGCGGGCGGCAGCCGCAGCAGAAGAGACTGCCCGCAGGTAACCCCGGCACCTACCTCACCATCTCCATCGTTGGCTTTCCTGCCACCTTGTGTCCATTCCATTCACATTCACACTGCCATCGAGCTCTGGCGTAATCTTCTTCTTGCTTACGGTTTCATCATCTTCGGTTTAATTAGCGGATAGTCTCCGGCTTTTTAATCGCTCTCTGAATCGCGCGCTGCAACTCGTTCTGCCATCGTTGACCAGATGCCAGAAAGCCATCAAGTGGTTTTTCCTTTGTCAGAGAGATTGCTTGCTGTGTTCGCTGAACACAAGTCCTTTCAGACTGCCATCCAGAGTTGGGTAACATGGACAGTTGTTGATAGGTTCAGAAAAAAACAACAACCAAAATGGTTAGTAAATAAAACGGTACGACAATGGTAGAAACTTTCTTTCTTGCAAAAAGCACGGTAGATTCCCAAAGTTTAGGCCGGAAAACAAGTTTCTAAAATCCTGATTTTATTTCAAGCATTTTTGCTGACAAGAGACAAAAGGCCAAAGCTCAAAAAGTTTGCTGCTAGAACTGCAAGGAGAACATCTAGAGCTGCAGCAGTACATAAACAGCAAAGAAGAATCTGATGAGTCTGATCTCAAAAGCGTTTCATTAGAAATAAGAATGTTCAGTGACAGCGCCTAACCACTTTTAGCACTATATGAGCCGGGCATTGACATGGTGACAGGCGATTATGTGTGTTATTGTATCCAGAAGTAGCATTACTATTTTCAGTGAAGAGGACAGCCCAACAGTTGATTACTGAATTTCTTTTCTAATTGAACTGAAGAGGACAGCTGAACTTTTGATTTAAGAAAACATTCTTGAGATGGTAGATTAATCAAAGATGATAGGTTAACAGCTGAGTATATTTTTTCTTCTCATGTTACAATAATGGTGAATAGAAACAAAAAGGCATCACCTTTTATCCCATCACAAATCCATCCATTTTATTATTATTACCATGATAGGATCATAAAGTGCTCTGTTTTCTCTGTTTTAAAATTTAGACCACTATTCTAATGTCCTTTCATTTTTGTCCAGGCCGTACTCCACCAGAAAGCAGCAGCAATGTTCCAGTGAAGAGCTCAAGTACCCCCAAAATCATTCTGGTGATTCCCCAATCTGGAGTAAATCAACTTAATTTTATTGGCAGGAAAACCAAGGAGAGGACCTGACCTTTCGGTTTATTTTGCAGGAGAAAACACTCAGCAAAAGCATGACCGAGAACAGTAGCCTCTCAATAGAGTCATCAAGAGCTTCTTGTTCTTCCTCTTCATGCTCCTCTTTCTCGTCGATCGACGGCAGCAAATCAGCTCAACAGGAGCTACCGTACATCAACGAAGAACTCTTTCCGCAGAGGCCACCGAAGAGCTCACCAAGTCTGCAGGGCGCTGACATGGACACCAAGACCGCACAGCCGAACGTCGGTTTCAGAGACATCGTCAAGGACTCCATCAACCGGGACTCGGGAGGGTTAACTGTCATGACCACAGCGAATGGAGCAAGAAGGAACGCGCAGTACAAGGACTCGCCAAGGCCATTGCTGCTCTCCAAATCGATGGACGGAACCTACGTCATCAGCATCGACAGGACCACCAAGGCCGTCCCCGCAAACGTCGTCGAGTCCAGTAGGCGTTTCCCGGAGCAGTCGCGCTTCTCATGCGACGACCGGCGGCTCCTGTGGCCGGCTGAAACCCAAGAAGCCAAGAAGCCTTCTTCCACAAGGGCCAAAGAGCTTCCTAGGCTGTCCTTGGACAGCAGGAAAGAGTCTCTGAGCCCAAGTTCACGTCTGAAGAGCTGCAGTTACAGGAGAACCGATGACTCTCTCCTGGACACTCTGAAGCCTCAAGACTCCCCGGGCCACAGGCGTTCCAACAGTGTCATCGCCAAGCTCATGGGGTTGGAAGAAGCACCAGATGCTATGGGGATGCTGGTCGCTGATAGCTACGAGCCTGCAAGATCACCAAGAACAGCAGCACAAGCCACACGGAGCGAGCGTCCATCGCGTTCGCCCAGGAGAGATTGCCAGGATGCGTGTGGTTCCCTGCCGAAAAACGAGCCTTCAGCACTGAAAACAAGACCTCCTCCAAGGATTCTCACTGAAGCTGCTCCCTGGAGGCAGCAGGAGAGAGGCGTCAGCGTCACCAACAGCAAGGCTTCACAATGCCGAGACGCTAAGGTGAGGCCAAGAACCCCATCTCTCTATGCCGATATAGAGAGAAGGCTTGGTGGGCTCGAGTTCTCGGAGTGCAACAAAGACTTCAGAGCTCTCAGAATTCTGGGTGTGTTCCATGCAAAGGATGCTAAGCACCAGAACAACGATGGTGATGCCGCATCAGTGGCTTCTCAGAGCCAAGAAGAGGATTCAGCCACCACCAGTTCCAGAAGCTTCCAGTCTCCCATTGTAGTCATGAAGTTATCAAGAACCACCGAGAAGCCTGCGGTCTCAGTTGCTCCCCTTGCAGGGCTGAGAGGCCTCAGGAAGCTGCAGCCCAGAGATTCATCCTTCACTGACAAGAGCGAAGCCAGCACAAATGAGAAGATCCATTCTCGCGTTGCAAGGGCTCAATCCAAGTCTGACGAACCTGCCAGCAGAGCGAGCTCGCCAAGGCCTACAGGGTCATCAAGCCCCAGGTTAGTGCAGAGGAAGGCAGAGTCGGAGAGGAGGTCTCGTCCCCCGGTCTCACCAAAGTCTCCAAGCAAGAAGTCAAATGAAGCAGCATCCCCAAGAGGAAGAACAAGATCAAAGCCTTCTCAAGTGAGGAGCAACCGTGACAATGAGGCCTCGCAGAGTCCAGGAAGAAGGATCAGCTTGGCGAAGCAGATTGACGTCAGTATAATGGATTGTCAAAGTCCTCTGGTTGCCAGATCATCATTCGTCGACCCAAAAACACCGAGCCAAAAGGTACAGATAAATAGATATATAATCATATAGTATGAAAGAAACCAGCCAGCTCTAAGTATTTTTTTCTTCATATGCTCATTGTTAACACTAACTAACGGAACTTCTCATTTTCTTCAGAGCCCTTCTTCAATCCTGGGTTCAGATCACAAGATCCATTCACTGGAGAACGCCCTGAGCCCCGTGTCGGTCCTTGACACATCCTTCTACCATAAAAGTATCTCAGATTCATTCAAAGGTGAGAAGTTGATCTAGCATTTTTCCTGCATATTCATTTGCAATGACATATAATAGATAAACCACCAATTTGTTAGTAATAATCGATAGCCACCAGCTGTAAGATCAATGGCATAATAGGTCCTACTATTTGGTCCCATTCAATTCAGAAGCACACAGTGCTATGCAAAGGACAAACATAGTTAGCTGTAAGCATACCAATGCCGCTAGTGACAGATAATCTGCATTTAAGGCTACCAGAGGCAGCTCGTGGTCCTGCGAGTGGGAGTGGGAGGGGGAGGAACCACATCATATTGATAGTTGCATCTGATGTGCTGGTGCTGAACAGTGCTATTTTCGCAAGCCCCACATGTTGCACTCGCTCATGCAGCAGCATGATGCATGTCCTCTGGTGTCTATGCATTGCTAGTGTAGATGTGCCCACCAGTGTCCCCTTTATAGATGCACCTAGTGTGTGTGGTTCAGTGAATCATGTAGACAGAGCAGTACAGTGAATTCATATCTCCAGTCTGATCCATGTACATGTCTGTTTCAGTTTAACTGTCTGTAGCAGATTCAGTATTTCTGTCTGGTACATTATTTTTTTCTGTGGTTGTGTCAAGCATTGGTTCCTTAATATGTGTACATCCTTTTTCTGATTGTTCAGATGGCGAGACGCATACCTCAGACGAATGCTGGAATTCAAACAGCCTGCCGGACACGCCGCAGTCGAAGACGAGCAGTGAAGTCAGCCAGATCAAACCAGAAAACCTGGAGGCGCTCATTCAGAAACTTGAACAATTGCAATCGATGAACGATGAAGCTGCAAACTCCAAAGATCACCAGTATATCTACGAGATACTCTTAGCATCTGGTCTTCTGCACAAGGAACTTAGCTTCGCAGCGATGCCTGCACAACTTTCGCCATCCAGCTGCCCGATCAATCCAGAGCTCTTCCTCATTCTAGAGCAAACAAAGCCGCACTTCATTTCAGCGATTCAGGCTGTTACCGGAGCTAAGAAGAGTTCTGACCCTAACATGGAGAAGCTTCATCGCAGAATTGTGTTCGATCTGGTAAATGAAATTATAGCTCAGAAGATGAACATCTATAGCTCTGCAAGTGGAACGGCGAAACTTCTTCGGTCAAGGAAGTTAAGTGGGTGGCGTCTTTTCAAGGAATTGTGCACAGAGGTCGACAGGCTCTTATCCGAGAGCTCGGCAGCGAAATGCTCCGAAGAGGATGAGGATGAAAACATACCATTATCTGAGGATGCATTGTATGAGATGAAAGATTGGGGTAGCCCTGAAGGTGAGCTACAAGGCATGGTTTTGGACATTGAAAGATCCATCTTCCGGGACCTCATTGACGAGGTCATAGGTTGCGAGGCTACAGAGAGGATGCAAGCTGGACAATGGAAACTGCGTAGGCAGCTGTCTTTCAGTAGTATAAACTGAATACGACTGGCGATAGTCGTTGTTTCCATTAGGAGGCTTAGCCACTAGTATAAATGTAACCCTTTGTATTTTTCTGAAAACTGAATTATATAGAAGAAATATAATTATTCCTGGAACACTGGTCTCACTGACATTGACGCTAGTGGAAGCAAGCAGTTGAATATCAGTTATGCAGTTACAGAAAGTCTTAATTTTTAGTAGATGTTACAGTACTTACTTTGATCAGAATCAGATCATGTTCCATTTCTTGATTGCACAACTACTGTTTGTTCCATAATACGCGATCACACGAAGCAACCATTTTGGCTCCTGTATGCCAGGAAGATCGCACACTGTTATACTACTAGATAACAAGATGTTTCCTGCCAGATGGGTGTGATAACGCCCACTAGAAGTTTCAGGCCTGCAGTTAGCTCCCAAAACTGTTTGCACATCACAAAGGAAATTCTACGGCAGCCCTACCCCGACACTCGCACGAGGATGGTGTCCCTTGAACCGATCATCGTCTCACAGTAAAATAATTGATGCATTTTATATGGATATAAATGAACATCCATAGGTTGGAATTTATGCCATGTACAGGCGAAAATCAGGCCTCCACCTCGGCGCAACGACACGTCGTCGAGCTCTCAACAAGAGAACTGTACCACGGTCAGTGCCCGATCATCCAGGACACCGGACTCATCACACATGATGCAGGATGTTAATTGATTTGTACTACCGGCTAGGGAGGAATGAACAGGAGAGGGCACCGGACACATGGCGCGGTTTCATCGGCAACAGCTAGGGGAATGCACGGGAGGGGGCAGGCATTTCTTGGAGAGGACAAGGCGAAGGCGTACCTTGGGGGGGCCGGCCGCGGCGGGCGGAGCTCCGGGGCCGCGGTGATCATTCTGGGCAGGCAAGGGGAATTTGGCACTGTAAAGATTTCAACGCCACTGTTGGAGAGGTCAAGAGGCTGATCATGGCGACGCACGTGGAACCGCGTCATCGCGGCGGCCGTACCGGGGCCTGCCCTGGTGGAGGTCGATGCCTTCCGGGCTTGGAACCGCACATGGAATGCCACTCGCTCGGTCGTCTGGAACAGGAAACCGGCACTGGTGGTGGTCGATTGATGTGGAGCACGCCGTCCCGCTGCCCTGGGCGATATGCACACCTCGCGTAGGCATTGCGTCGAGCACGTGGTGGGCGTCCGCGCCGGCGAGCCCGTCGCTCCGCGCCGCGGCGAGCTAGATAGCCCCGTAGATCTCTGGAGCAGAACGCTGGCGTCCAAGGCACGCGAGCTATCCAACCTAAGAATCACAGACCCGTTGAACACGGTGAGAGCATCTACTCACATCAGTCATCAGCTAGAAAACATAGACCCATATGCACTGCTCCTCCATCTTTCCTCCAGGCAGCCACACCCAAGTACCCACTTTCAAAACGGTGTGCAGAAATTCTGGACTCAACAGGCAGCCGCATATATACAAACACTGAACAGGTAGCAGTTCACAACTTGCGTGCAAAAAGAACAGACAAGGCGTTGCATTAAACATTAAACATCAGTGACAACACCACTCAAATCAAAGGGAAAGGGGCTAAGAGGAGTGACGCAGCAGATGACAGTCGGTTTTCAGGAAGCAGAAAAATACAGTGTCAAAACTGAACTCTCCAGGCGAGTCGTCCTAGGCGTTCTGATAGTGGCGCAGCTTGTACAGCAACACTTTTCCACCGGCGTGTCCGACAGAGAGGAACCCGCTGCCCGGGCTGAAGTCCAGGCACCGGGGGTACTGGAGGCCGAACCGAGGCCCTAGCCAGTTCTGGAACACGGTGAGAGACGGGACGTGCACGAGCCTCATCCCGTTCCGCTCCTTCCCTGAGCTTATCACCAGGACCTGGGCGTCGTGGTTGAACTTCATTTGACCGATCTCGGTCGTGAGGTTCTGGATTGTCTTCAGCGGCTTCCCCTTCCCGCCGAGGAACTCGTCCCTGCTGTACACGTTCACGATGCCGCTGCTGGAGCCCGTGGCGAAATAGGAGCTGTCCTGCGAGGTGCAGAGAGAAAGGCCTGTCAGGGAGCCCTCGTCGGTAGCCTAGTGCATACATTTCCCCGTTCTAAGATTCCAGTGGTAAACATGGCCATCCCGGCCACTGCTTAGTAACTGATTCCCACCATCCGCAAAAGCCAATGAATGCACATTTCCGTTCATCTTCAAGGTCCCAATGAGCTGCTTTGTTTTGGAAGATATCAAAAGAATGTACCCCTCGTAAATGCAATGGTTTCTGAATCAGGTGATATACTGATATCTCAAAGTTTTCCAGGCTTTTCTAATCACGTCCGGTCAAGGGTCCAATCTTACTAACAGCAGCTTTCACCAAATCAAATGAGTAGACGAATTTCCTCCTGCCTGAAATGATCACTTCAGAGCCATCAGGTAGAAAGGATGCCTTGTGAACCAGACAATCCTCGATATATTCATATATATGCTCTGGATCTTGGGGTTTCTTTTCCCGTCAATCTGGAAAAATCTCAGATGTTTATCCAGGTCAGCAGCAAGCATCAGCTGTCCATTCCTATGAAACTGCACGGAATTGATAGGACCACTGGATGGCTCCTGCGCATTAGCATCAACAAGCCTTGAGAAGTCCAACATGCCAGGAAGAAGCTTAGCAGTACCCCTGACAACAAGCTCATCGTCGTTTCGAAGAATATTGTCGACTCCGCTGTCCTCATCGGATTCACCGTCGTACATCCCAGGACGAAGAGATTTACGGTCCATATCTGCCCAGCCGGTAAAGGGGTTCAACTTGGCATGGTGACCACGCAACCTAGCTTCATACTCTCTGCCCGAGATCACACGCTCATCAGCCTCCTTTCTCAACTTCATCAACTTCACTGCCGAAATCCTCCTCATAAACAGGCAAGTCATCCTCATCGTTACCGGCAGACTGATCCATGAAGAACAAAGGACCATCCCTGTCATGATCCGACACCGCAGCCCCAAGCTCAGTGCCAAACTCCAGTGGCGCATAGATCGGCCCAAACAGTGAACTCTCCAGCTGCCTCATCTCCTCCGCCTCTTGATTCTGCTTGGCTTCCAACGCCTTGGCCTTCCTTTTCTTCAAACCCTTATTGTGATCCTCCTTAGCCCTCTTTTGCTTCCTATCCTTACTGTGTCTCTCTGTCTTGGGTTTCCTTACCAGCCTCTGCATCAAAAGCAACGGGTGCCTCATCGCCATCATCATCGACTCCACTTGTCTCCATTCGGCGCTTCCAGGGCGCATTCTGGGATAGCAAGCTCATCCTGACCCAAGGAACAGCCTGCTAAATAACATCAATAAATGAGACCATGCTAATCCACAAATGTACAAAGCTTCTACTAATTTTGCAAGTTAGGGTAGTGAGGCCTATGACCCCAGCCAAAATGGTGACCACCGGCACACAATTTGGAGGCTCATCAGTTTGGGCTTAATCATTCATATCAGTGTGTGACTAATTTTTGGAACGAATCGCTGTATGACTAATAAAAGCTCATACCTCGAACACCGATGTCCAGTTGTCCACTGCTGCGGACGGGGTGGCGACAGCAGGTCAGCAGGGACGCGACGCCGCGACGAGATAGAACAGGGTTGGCGGCGATGTAAGCGACGCGCGCGAGAGGTGTGAGGCGTCGGCGGCGGCGCTAAGCTAACGGCTGCGGCGGCGGATTGGAGGAGCTTGGATGCAGGCCAGAGCACGAGGTAGGCCACCCAGGAGAGAAGAAGAGGACGTACGGGCTTGGTGGTGGAGAAGCGACTGCGGAGCACGCGGAGGGTCAGGTGGAGGGCTGCCGCGCCGCCGTCAAGAGTGAGGGAGGGGAGCGCCGCCGCCGCCGCGCCGCCAGGATAGGAGGGTTCTTCTAGAAGAAAAAGAAAAAAACAAAGACTAGCAACATCGGGGTCGGAGCAACAAAAGGTCGGTCGGACTCGTGGGTCGGACCGACGGAGCCCAGCCGCAGCCCGAGCGTGCTGCGATCGGGTCCGGTCCGAGTCCGACCGCAAGCTGCCGAGTGAGGGCCCAGAAGCCAGTGAGACGCAGCGGGAACATTCGCGACCCGTCCCCCACCCCCCAAAACCCTTCCCGTTATAAACCCCCTCCGACTCCTGCTCCTTCCTTTCCTCTCTCTCTCTCTCTCTCTCGCTCCGCCTCCTCGATCGAGTCCAGTCCAACTGCCCCGCCCGCCCGCCACCCGCGCCGCCCAGCCGCTCCGCTAGGGTTCGCCCGCCCTCCCGTGGCTGTCCGCGGCGGCGGCGGCCCGTGCTCCGTCCGGAAGGTAGCGCCCCTCTCCCTCTCCCCGCGCGCGCGTCTCGATCTCTCCCGTTTTACGCTTTTCCGTTCCGTTCCGCCGGCTCTCGGCTCGCCCGGTGCGCGCTCGTCCTCCCTCCTCGTCGTGCCGCGGCTCGAGGGATCCCGTGGGCCTCGTCGGTCTGCGCGGGGGGTAGGGTTTGGCGCGGTGTAATGCTGCCGGTCTGGGCGGGTTCCGGGTTTAAACCGCGTCGTCTGGGGATTAGCACCGGGCTGTTCTGGGTTGTTTGTTGGATGTAAATTGGTGTCGGAGCGGCTACGGACAAGCTTTCTTGTGGCTTGTGCGCTTGGGTGAAGGAAAGGGACTCCCTTTGACGACAGAATTGACGTATTGTGTGGGTTGCTGGCTGGCTGGGGTTCACGTAATGATGTTTTGTGTGAAAATGCCATCTTTTTTTGTCCATACTCTCAATCGCTATTAAACTGATGTTGTCCGTTGACTGGTTTGGAGTATCAGGACACGGTGTGCGAAAATGTCATCTAATGTATTTTGTTGCTGTGGTCATTAGATATAGATAGCTTATGTGTCTTTTGTGGTTTCAGAATTTTGGTGGGAGTGCTCCATCATGGCACCGAGCTGCAGAGACATTTAGTATTGCTTTTGCCTCGTGGAACATTCTTTGTTTGCATTGCAATTGGCTTACGTGCATCAGGTCTGGTGGATGGTTCGACG